AAAATAAATTACGAACTTGTCAGAATTCGAGGAGTTCAGCGACAGATCCGAAAGCGTCCAAACTCCACATACGTTTCCCTCCTGATGACCAACGTCCTTAGACGAGTCACATACAGAGTAAGTCTAGAGTCTGCACATAGAAGTGATACCTTTATATTTGTGCACATAGTGATCTCCCATACGAAGAAGTAAATGAACTTGCATACAGAGAAGAAGACGAACGACATCTGAAACAGGTCGTATGTTTTATAACGATTTTTGTGAGCTCTCTCTCTCAATCGCAAATAGGATATCATATAAGTTTAATTATCTCCTGATTTGTATATTAGTTGTAGTAGTTCTATCTCTCGTTCATTGAGATTTTTGTATGATTTATTTTCTTGTTTTATTAAATTTACTATTTCGTTTTTATTAAATGTCTCCTAATCTGAATCGTAATAAGTATACTTCACGCGTGTTAATCCGCGTGTTATAAGATTGATTAACTGGTGTCGGGACCCTGACAATTTGGGATAAAGACTTCACAGTCTTGAATCCCCTTTATCTAAATATTACCGCCCTCCTATAAAAAGTTTAGAGAGCCGATCACACGATCGTGCGCCAGTAAGTGATATAGGTAATTTACTTATACCCTTGGCTACTCTCACACTTCTGAATGAATTCTTTGCCATACACTTATTTGTTGATGGAGAACCATTATGGAACAACAAAGGCTTACAAACATCTTTTTGGACTACTTGCCAGAAAATCAGAAGTTTTAGTGAAAACTTTCAGTGTCATTTCAAGGATTTACATCTAGCCCTTCTTTGATGAAAGAGCAATTGATATCAAAACATTCATTTCCACAAATTTTTAGTAGAAAATCTACCAATTACATTTCTTTGATCAAATTCATTTAATGCTTCCATTTTTAAAATAGAATGTTACATTTATGAAACTTTTTTCAATAAATGACATCAAGAACACTGTGTTGTGCATATATACAATTATTCAAAATTACTAGAAAATGCTATTGAAATTTGTGCAGATTTTTAAGATACATACCTACATGACATATAAGTAGCTCTTGTTTTAATCTGTTTTTATGAAAATTTAATTAAAATTATAATGAATATACTTTAAAAAATAAAATTAATTGTGATATGAATAACTTAAAAAAATTAATGTAAATGTATTATTATTTAATTACCTTTAAAACCAATCCTAAATCACCATTCAATCCATTTTTTTCAGTTTCTTCAACTTCCCACTTCCCTAAAATAAATTTTATTATATTAGGTTTGAACAAAAAGCTTCCTTCATGACATATAATATACGAAGACCCAATGCTATGCCAGACTCAGGGATGACTTCAGAAAAACATGTTCAGATTACATTCATGCATTACATGTACAGATGCTGTTCATGTTTATGTCTGTGTTTCAGAACTTCCTGACTATGTGATGTGTTTAGTATGGCAACTCTATATGTTGTTGTGAAACCCTAATTTCCTAAGCTTTTGTGTACTTTATGAGAGAATCCAGGAATGGTAAAATTTTATTTTAGTAAAGAAATTATTAAAGTATTAAAATGATGCCAAAATTAACACATTTCTGTCAAATTTGTGGAAAGGGACGTAAAACTTCCTTTGGGAGAGATGTTATCACACATCTCCGGTGAACATTTGTCCATATGAGTCAGAACGAATATCCCATCAGATGCTACAAATCCTAAAACCTAATTGGAGAGGGAATTTGGCATAAAAGAGGGATAAAAATGCAAACTCAGGGCAGTCAACAAAAGAACAGACACTGCCAAATGGAAGTTTGGATACCATAAAGAGAACATAGCTCTGCTCCGGCTCATCATCAATCTCTGAAACCACCTATGTCTCCATCTCATTAGAAATTCAAACCAAATGTTAATCAGAGGTATTATTATAGAATCATTTGTAAACTCTCTCTTTATAGGTGTGCTGTTTAGTTGATACCTTGTTTTGTTTTGTACTTATCATATATCTATTAAATTCTATTTGTTATTTGTTAATCCACCTATCTATTCTTTGATTTGTATGGACAATGTACACCGATCAAATTTACCCACAACTCGCCCTTAAAAAAAAAATTGGAGAAAATAGAAATAGTTATATCTACTACTCATTAAAAATAGATTTTCTTTAAATTTGTCATTCATGTGAATTTTTTCAATTTTTTCCCTAAAACACAAACTTTATTAGTAAAAAGGAATAATCCTGTTACTGGAGGTATAATTAAAGTTTATTTGTAAAATTCCATTTTACAAATAAAAAATTAATTCAATATTGTAAAATATTTTAAAGCTTTTTCACATTATTCATTGTAAATATTAAGATCTGACTATTCTTAAATGTAAGTTTTCAGATATCACTGATTCAAATCAGGCTTCTAAAAGTTTACTTATCTTTTCAATGCTAATGGCCAATAAACTGAGTCAACTAGCACATCATTTAACATTGAAAAAAAATTACTCTGATAATATGTTTTATTAAACTAACCATTTTTAAATCTTAAGGTGTTTCATCATTAATAATTACATTGATTTTGTCATGTTTTCTAATTTAATAAACACTACCAAGAAAAGAAATATTTTAAGTATTAAACAAAATTTTAACATTACCATTATATTTAGCAATATTTTCTTCTATTCCATCTTTTTTTGCTTCTGAAATAATCCACCTGAAACAGAAATGTCAAAAATTATATAATATAAAATAAACATCTAGTAATGCTAATTTTTAAGGCATCAATTTATTATTGATAAAATGCTTTTTGAGATTTATATTGTCAGAAAATAGTCTCAAAAACTTTACACAAACAACAAACTGACTCCATAAGAATTATTAGCATTATGTCTTGATATAAAAATAGAGTCATTTATGAACAAGAACTGATAAACAATTACATAAGAAGAATAATTAACTATTTTATATAATATCAAATAAACAGTCAGATTTCTTAAATACAATAATTATAAATATGTAAATTTGTTTATAATTATTATATTTAACAAGAGATGGCAGCCTGGCAGCTTGCCTTCTGACAAATTGCTTAGCAATTGTTTAGCCTTAATAGCTTGCCCAATATGATAAAAAAATCTGGCTGTTTGAAACAGCCAGATTCCTTTATCATATTGGGCAAGCTATTTGAAGTAATTATCAAATTAGCTGTATTTATTTTATATATTTTTATATAAATAAATTTTTACAATAATTTTCAAATACAGTAAAACCTGTATAAAACAGAATCACACAGTACCAAATTTTTTTTTCTGATTTGACAGGTTTTCCTTTTGAACAGATTTTAATGTATCTGGTTTTCATTATAGCACAATTAAAACCAATGTTCATAAAAATATTTTTAATTTGAAAATTTTATTTTAGTATAGTCTTTAGAAGTCATACAATTCTCTTAGGTTTTCTGAATTACTGTTTATAAATATATAAAAATTGAATTACCTTTTGGAGAAATCTTCGCGATCATCAAAATGTTCTGCCAAATAATAATTTCCAATAGGCCTAGGAGTTGTGTATAATATTTCTTCAGCAGCAGAAGCTTTCTCTTCAGATACTTCGTCCTGTTGTGGAAAAAAAACATAATTAGTAAAATAAACAAACAACCTCTATTAAGAATGTTAATTATATTTTATATATGTATATGTTACTGTGAAAGACCGAAATTAGAGAATGTCAATATTCTCCGGTGAATGTTGACACATACAAAATACGTCTGTGAAAGACCGAATATTTTGTTATATTATTATACATTCGAACAATCGCCGGTGTATGTCGACAAGCACAGATAAGCTTTGGTGGAGGTCGAAACGACACCCGAGAAGCCGATGTCAACGGAGAGGCGACAGTCTGTCACCACGCCGTTTCCTTCTGCTCAAATTGGTGATACCGTACGAATACAAGTCCCTAATGTTGACCATGGCCGTACAGATGCCCGAAATGTGTTGGCAGTTGTTGTTAGAATAGAAGACTCCGACTTTTATAAATTAGCAAACAAAAATGATACCCTCAAGCAACTTTATACCTGTAATCAGTTCGTAATTTGTAAAGAAAATTTTCCGTAGGTAAGATTTCTTCCCAAGAAATATCGCTGAGAGAAGCAGCTGCAGCTAATTCGAAAAGTGGAGGGCAAGGCTATACACGCTGTCATTGCAAAAAAAGTGTTCCATGAATAAATGCAGTTGTAAAAACAAGGAACTCTCGTGCAATTCAAAATGCCATAACAGTTTAAGTTGTTGCAATAAATAAGATTGTATAATGTTAATCACATAATTTATGTGTCAGTTTATTATTGTATTATTTTCTTTAATTATGTAGAATGTACTGTTCGTTTTAGGTTCAACAGTTTATTTACTATTTACATGTACTATTACTTAAGCTTTCTCCTATTTTGACATATTAAAAAGTTGCATTTTTGTCTTAACGTAATAAAAATATTTTTATTCAACATTCACCATCAGCGCATTCTGAATGTCGACATTTGCCGGTGTAAGTGAGAAATAACGATATTTAGCAAATATTTCGGACATACACGAAACGACTGTGTGAATGTTGACATTCACCAGAGAATGTTGACATTCGCCAGATTTCGGTCATTCACAGTAACATATACAAAACACATACAATACAAATATCAAAACTTATAAAAATTACTTTGAAAGAAACTGATTATAATCATTTCTTATTTACACCAAAAAATTTCTAATCATAAAATGCAGGATGGTTATAATTAAAGTTGCCATACTCAAACCTATATAGAACTTGTTCTCATTGACATATTTTGATGAAACTTGGTATGTACATTATATGGACCATGGGGTATAGGAAAATGCAAAAAAAAAATATTTAGTTCAAATTTCTACCCCTAGGTGAAAAAATGGAACATGCAGCAGATGCTATGCAAATTAGAAATCTTTTAAAAAGCCAGTAGTCAATGTTGTTCTTTATCATGCCTTTACAGAAGAAAGATCGAGCTTTACAGGTAAAGTTGTTTTATCCGAATGACAGTAATAGTTTGGCTGCAGTGCGAGAATATCGACATTTGAAAGGCTTGCGAATAGGGTTATGTCAGGGTATGGTTTGAGAAAGATGATTGCCAAATTTTAAGAGACTGAAGAGTTGGTGTATTGCAGGAAGAGGTTAGAGAAGGATTTCAAATGAAACTGTGGAGCAAGTCACTGTTGCTGTGATTGACAGAGCAAATGCTTCCCAACATTCTTCAACAAGTGCTTGAGCGGTGTCACATGATTTGTCTCTTCCTTGGTTTACGGTTCAAAAAATTATGTAATCCATTTTACAGTGGTATCCATACAAGATCCACATTATGCAAAAGCTGCACCCTCAAGATCCAGAATAACACACAGAATTAACTTGTCAGTTTTTGGCCAGAATAGCCATTGACAATGCATGGCCAAGGAACATTTTGTGGTCAAATGAGGAGCATTTTACCCTAAACTAAGCAGTGAATACTCAGAACTGTCACATATGGGGGTACTGTAAGACCTGATATTGTGCATGAATAGCCTCTGCACTCTACTTACATCACCATCTGATGTGGTTTCACTTTGGACTTCTTTCTTGGCCCCCTTTTTTTAAGGAGATCACACCCCAAGACCCTAAAAGGTGTTCCATGACAGGTGCCCATTACTGCAAACTTCTGCTGCATCACGTCATTCCTGCTTTACAAAAACGAGGATGTTTAGAGACTACTATTTTCGTGCAAGATAGGGCAACATAACATATTGTCTGACAAGTGATAGAACTGCTTCATGACAAATTTGGAGGTGATCGAGTAATTTTGAGAAGTTTAGTGAATGCCTGGCTTCTTCATTCTCCAGACTTGAATCCCTGTGACTTTTGGTTGTGGGGATATTTGAAAGATTGTCTATAGAGAAGACATACAAACTCTGCCTGAATTGAAAGTAAGCATAATACACCATGATGCTGCAAGAAACCTATTGTGCTACTGTTGAACACACTGTAAGGTGCTTTGAACATGTGATTGATGCAAAAGGATTGCACATTGAATAAATGTTGTAAAGAAAAACCTTTTGTATGTTTCTATTTTGTGTTTCTTGTTCTTCATGTGCCATTTTTTCACCTAGTGGAGAAATTTGAACTAAATATTTTTTTTTGCATGTTCTTTTCCCCATGGTCCATATAACATATATACCAAATATCATCAAAATATGGTAACGAGAACAAGCTCTATATAGATCTGAGTAGGGTAACTTTAATTATAACCAACCTGTACGATTTTATGTTTGCAAAACTAAAATCAGGAAAATACCAAATACAAAAAGAAAAACTTTTTAAAATCAAGTATTTTATAAATTACCTATTTTACTGTATATATCCATTAATTGATATACCTTTGACTTATTTAATTGGCAAAAATAAACATGAGTTTATAATAAAAATGAATTTAGCATCTGTTCCCTAACAGTCTCTAGTTAATTTTATCCTACATTCATATTTATAGATTTATTCACAATCTTAAGATTAAAATTAGATTATAGTAATTAAATTAATCAAAAACTACATAGAGTCATTATGCATCTTCTTAACAGATTTGACTCATTAGAGAATCATATAGACAGCTTTACATTTATATTAAAAGACTGGTAATCTCAAATGTAAGAAAATTTTGTTACATTTAATTAAAACTTTCTTATAGAAAGTTAAGTAAAGCTTAACCTTTCAGCAGTGGGTTAGTCAGATATGGTGCTATCCCTATGTAATGGAGAATAAATATGGGAAATTTTTCAAGTATTTTCCCGCACGTTTTTTCCTCATTACCATTTCAGAAAAAGATTTTGTAAACAGTTATGTAAAAGTCTTTTTTTTATTGTTACATAATTCCTTTTTTATGTGAATTTTTTTTGTTACAGTAGTTTTTGGCAATATCTGCAAAAGAATTTTGCAAATATCACCAAAAACCTTCAGTCACCAGTGCCACATGATCACCCTTGACAAATATATCCATCAGTCACTGCTGAGTGGTTAAGTATTAATAATTAATTTTTACATAAACCAGCAAGGAACAATAATTCAATCCACATTTCAGTGGTAAAATATGCTTAACCTTCATATATATTTGATAAATGTGGATTAGTGTTGACAAAGATAAATATATCAGTATGATAATAACAAATCTCTTTTTACCTATAAAAAAGGGTTGTAAAATTTAGTATTTTACAGATAAAACTATTACAAATGGCTACTTAATAGAATATTTTTTAACTTGCTTATTCTTCTAAATATTTATTTTGTTTATAAAATTACATAAAACTATATCTTACATAAAACCTCAACCTTTCTCCATCTAATTTATATCCATACTAACAAATTTATTTTTAGTATGAAAAAACTTTGAATACAAGTAATAATTAGATTTTAAATAAACACTGGATAAAAGTATCTGCAATACTTCAAATTAACTGAACATATAGATTTGGTTGTAACAATAGAAGTTTTTTATATTTAATTTGGATGAACAGAAGTATAAGGTATGACTGATATCTTATTGTGTAATATTCCATTTTTTGTATTTATTTAAGTATTCATTTATTTTAAGCTTTTATATGTTAAGAACCTAGGTGATGGCTAGGTAACAAAGTCATTGACCTATTTAATTCTAAAAATAATACTTGGTATAATGCCAAATTAAAATCAATTCTGAAATAACTAATTCATATTTTTGAATACTAATTTAAATAAAAATTTAATATTCCAATTTATTTTCTATTTTTTATTCTGAATGTTTTATATAGATTATATTAGAGATATGAAAAGATGTACCAGTACATTATCTTATGATTTCAATATTCATCAAATCCTATTACAAAACACACCTGTATCTATCATCAAGAGTGAGAATCAAGTTAACCAGTATTCATATAACTAACATTCATTTTAATTCAACTAGTTGACATTTGAGCGTGAATATGAACTTAAAATTAATTTTGCCAATATTTGTTTCTTTAACTCAATCATCATATAAAAAGTTTCAGATAATAAAACACATCTTTTGATTTCCAGCAGCATTTTTCTTTTTAATATGAAAAGCTTAATTTATTCTTTCTAATAAAACACTTTATTTATAGAGATATAATACTACTTTGAAAACTAATAATAAAAGTACTGTAGAAGTTAATATAATAAATCCAAAATGTTACAGAAATTTACATATTACTTTTTTTTTATTATAAAAGAAACAAATTCAAGAATTACATATTATACAAACATTTCATTTATTTTTCTACATTCATTTCTTCCATTCTAGTTGCAAATATTTAATAAAGTTAATTTGGAACTTACACTAATATATTAAAATCATTCTATAGTTTTATAAAAAATTATGAAAACTTTTTAATATTTCTCTTTACAGTTATTTGTCAAACAATGACAAATGTTTGCAAAATACTAATTGCAACCCAGAATTAATTTGTCAAAACTTATTCAATGCATTATGATTGAGTCAATTAAATAATATAATAATTAGAAAATTTAAAGCCATACTTTGTAAGCTTTGACGTCTTTAGGAATTACAGTAGAGTCTGCA